TTCTATTCCGTCCGGCAACTCCACCTGTCAGAGTAGATATAGCTAGGAGTTTCCAGGGTTCGACGGTCGGTACCGCCGAACCATCGCCCACGCATCTCGTAGAAACACTACCGTACTATTATCGAACAGGAAGAATTGATGCACGATAGCAGAATGGAAACAGTTTAGACGGCGTCCGCTTGATCACGTGCTCCAAATGTCATATGACCATCTACATAGCGTCTTTAGACCAAGCACGCACATAGTGGGCTGAAAACAGAATATAAAAGTCGTTACCGGCAGTCGACCTGGAAACTCTTGTCTCTCCTGGCAGGGACATAAGACAAGCCCCACGAATCATTGGGCATAGAACCCGAGCTGTTATCTTCAATGCATCAGAATCCACAGGGATGGGGTATGCTGTATCCTACACACGGTCCGCTTGTCCGGCGGCGGGAAGCTCGAAATAACCGAACGTCACTTTGATGTCACAGGCCTATGGTGAAAATGGATGTCGGAAAAGTGGCCAATCAGAGTAGTTTTGGCTTGATGGTTCGCGACCCGTCACAAAGAATTTGGCGCAAACTAAAATTACATAGGATTTATCAAATAGCAATATTGGTTTTGTTCTGTTAACTTTAACTCCTTGTTGCATTCCGCTGTTCTTCAGTGGCAAATTGAAATTGATCCGCAGACCCAGTAGATATGATGGCAACTTACCAAATATAAGTTATCCATTATCACCGGAGACTGTCCACCCACACAGAGGAAAAGTATCACAAGAGGATGAACAAGATAGGCTCCATAAGTCAGTCGGGCCAATGGACGAAACCCTGTCCAGGCGAGAAGCGATTGGATCGAAGCTAGCGAGGAAGAAGTAAGGGAGAGATGAAACTCGGATGAAAAACACGGACATGGAAAGAAAGGTGAGGTCTTCACCAAACAACGTGCGGCAGGTGAAGAAGACAATAGGAAAGGAGACAAATAAGAACGTTTTGGGAAAAAGTAAGCATTAAAACCGGTGGAATAGTTTGACAAAAGAAGGAAAAACGACTAAGCAAGGGACTTACGTGCGTAGCCGGTCGTACACAGAAAACATACAATCGCTATTCCCAAGATGAATACCGGTCGATGCATGGAAGTGTACAAGGCAGACACTCCGATTGATGGGAAGTTCACAGCTTGGCTCACATAACCATAGAGCCCATACAACGTGGATAGACAGAATACTGAGGCCAACGAGAGTAGCACCAGCGAGAAGACAACCATTCCTTGAAAAGACCACCGCTGACGAGGAGAACGGATAAATGGACTGTGTTGTCAATGGTGCTTGGGTGAAATTGACCCTCGTCACAGGACAGGTGCGAACATTTTACATGTGGGGTACAACTTATGACGTTGTTTCTCATTCGTCTATAACCGGCGAAACAAACAGTAATATGAGTAGAGTGAGTAAGCAGCTCAGTAAAGTTTGCACCCTGTAAGTCGTGGATAAACTGTGCATCTTCATTCTCCGAGAAAAATGAATAGAAGGATGCTTAGCTGCTACCCCTGAGCGCTGACCACTGGGACACATACAATTTATTATGGGACGATCATCATAATAACCGAGTGATCCACACTTGGTGTTGCTCGGGAGTAAGATACGGACGCACTGACAAGATAAGGAAAACTTTTTCGTTATTTGCCATCAGTACTGAAGATTGTGACAGGGCCCCCAGCTGAATTGCAACCGAACATCCACGTTCACCCCATTAAAAGGAGGACGGCCACAAGCTGTCCTAAAGGTCTTTTTCAAAGCAAACCTCATAGAATTAATGCAGTGACACTTGCTAACGGTGAGACCAGATGTTAATTACGTGAGTAAAGCAGTTATCTGAAATTCCAGTAGCCGATGCGCAAACACTGAAACTTTCTGGAGCAATGTGTCAAAAAGTTTAACCTACGTTAGCCGGTCAAAATAGTTGGCAGCTAATGAAGGAACACCATCAGTATATACGACACACTCGCAAGTAATCACACTGCTGTAACCGAACTGGTAAGTGTTCAACCACCGATCGGAAAGTCACGGATTCGAGCTTCGTGAGATGCTCACTGCTTCTGCATAGATTGGCACTACTGACAGGACGAAATCGCAAATAGAAACAATCGTATGTGTTGACTCAAATCATCTTAGCCAATTACGTGCCAAGAAGGTGCGAAAAACCCTCTTGATGGATGATCAAAAGTACTACTCGGTCGTGAAATTCAACGTTTAGGTGGGGCTCAAACACAATCTGAATGAAAGCTCATCCTGTATTTGACGTCGGTCCATGCTGGAAAGCTGAGCAACAGCGTGCACTTACAACCTTATTGTGAGACTTGAACACCTGGTCTGTAGTCGAGCACTATATAGTTCGGCTGTGAGTAACGGACAAGAGATTTCGCATGGCTAGCTGATAAAATGGGACGTCTCTGATGGATGGCCTATGTTGCTTGAGGGATTCTCCCTCTTCTCAGGAAGGAGTTATGTGTGACGTTGACGCCATCAGACGTATAAACCGATTTCACCGATGAATTCCAGATTACAACCGGATTCCTGATGTCGATGGACAGAAACAATATCAAAGATTGCCGAGTGGGTTATTCTATATGAGAAAGTTGTAGTGGAATACAACATTCTGCGAAAATCGCAATTTCCCTTGCAAAAATTCCACATCGATCTTCAGAAAACCGGTCCAGGTGCCACACGATGGCTCTGTCGAGCGAGTGAATGAAAATTCACGTCTAGCACGCGGATCCTGTGAAACTGTGTTCAAAAAACAGATTGATACAAACAAGCGAGTATTGTGCCCTACGTGAATGATATGATTGGTCAGATGAATATGGTAGAAAGAAGTGGTGATAACTGTATTTTAGTCCACGTGTCTATTCGGCTTAGCCATCCAGAGCGATTCGCAATTCTTGCGCACACACTGGCAGAACCGACCGTGTGATGATGAGGTGAGCAATCTAGCTTCACAACAGTGCTTGTAAAACATTTCAAAACCACTTGTCGAATATGAGGAAGGCGACTGATAAACGTAGTGGAAAATTTCCCCCGGTTTGTTTGTCCCCTCTCTATTTGAGCGAGAATTTGATCAAATCGCTTATAGTAACAAAACAAAGCTGGAGCTCGTTTTATCAACTGCCTACCTTTGGAGATTTGTACTGCTTCAGAATAATCCAGCCCAGAACCAGACCGATTGCATATGTTCCCCATCGGGTGTACGGTTTAATGTAGATGGTATCAATGTTGTCCGCACTGTCAAGTGGTAGGAACAGGACAATGGAATGGGAAAACAAATAATCCGCGTGAGGAAAGCCCTGTGCATGAATAGGTGGTGAGGGGAAGCGATCCGGTAACCATGAGGCATGTTCCGCAAGTCGCGATGATTCACTAAATCAAAGGGCCATACTGACAACAGCACAGAGTTACAAAAGTTGGGGAGTACATTTCTTCAGCTGTAACGCCTCCTCAATGCATAGCTACAGTGCCACACGAAAAAACACCTAAACCGAGATACTGTCAGGTTTCTCGAGTCCAAACACAAGCAACCGAGATGCCGAACCGCGGATATTACAGTCAGTAAATGAGTTGTCTCGAACTCAGTTATACGAGTTAGGTTAGGACTGATGTTCCTAAGTCAAAACCAACTAAAAGAGATTTTTACTCGCCCACCTTTCTCGTTACGAACAGATCAGATCTTTCGATCGATGCACATCTTTCTACCCATCGAGTTATGCTGAAGAATGAACAGGAGACACGCATACAGGCTTCCAAGTCAGTTTGATCAGTCATTCGGATCGATCCAATCTTTCCGTCGCCCATGATGGGGTTATAGCGTGTAGCGAGCTAACCACTGAAACAACCATGCCTTGTGGGTGGCCTTTGAGACAAGAACTTAGGTTGTGGATCCCGATGCCATCCTAGCCCATGTCCAACAATGAATTGCACGAATACAAATAATGTTAAACGGCGTTTCACTTTAGTCCAGTTAACAATCGCAGGGAACGGAATTCGTTGAATTTCAGTATTTTGTTTTATCTGGTCAGTCGTGTAAAAGAACACTCGGTTAACGACATAAACATGAATAAATAAACTGATTTAGGGGTCAAGTAGGTCAATTATTTTACCACCAAGGCAAGCTAATGGCTCATATCGGAGTGTATCGTGCGCACAAACTCAGTCAGTATGGATTGATCAGGATTCCCTCACCCAAAGCTGGCAGTCTGGGATCAACGTTCCCGGGTTGAATTCTAAAGGACTTTGTCGTTTCAGAGAAGTTTGGTAAACAATCAGTGGATTTATTGCTGGACACAAAAGCTTCGTCAGGCCAAGTGACTAGGTAAGCAGGTTGATCCGGTTTTAAGGCAGTCAGAGAACCGATCCGTGAGATTTCTTATGACCGGCCGACTTGATCAGTGCTGGGCGTCGTTCCACCGTTTCTGTTCGTTGGTTAGAGAGGGCGGCTAACCTTTACCGCAGATTGGTTTGGGGAAGTTGTCTTCGTGTTAAACCCGGGATTTTTCCGGCCTTGATTTTTCTGTCTAGGATACCTTAATGCAATATTCCTTTTGAGGTCGTTCACAGATTTTATTCGCCTGTGTTCGTCGAGAGATGCCAGGAAAATTAGTTCAGGATTAGGGGGTGGAAACGGTTAATTGAATATTACTCTGCTTGGATTTTGTACTTTTAGACTGAACTTCACACCACCTCGTGTCATCCAGGTTGATCTAAAACAGCTCTCCACACGCTTGCCAGTTCTACGCCCTCCATTCTGTTCACGCTGAAATGCTTGGGCGATTTTCACTGCCTCTGCCACCAGTCGCCGTGGGTTGAATCATGGTCCCCTTCTCAGAATGTCCACAATTTCCAAATCTATCTTGTGCTCAGTGTCTAGTGCATGTCCTGCCGTTGCCGAATCTTTGATTCTCGGTGGTCTGTTAATGGATCGCTTATGCTCAACGATTCTGGTGTGTAATTCCCTGGATGCCTGAGGAAGTTTTTGTGGCAGAAGCGAGACGCTTTGCCTTTCTGAAATAGTGACTAACCAATTGGTCCCAAACATCTTCTTATTGACTAAAGGATGTTTTTAGACAACTCGGTGTCTCTGAGATGTTTCACGACCAATGAAGCCAAATGCCGAGCTTGAGGTTACCTTGCCTTTATCGGTTGGTGATTCATGTGAGTCAAGTCACGAGACATGTTACGATGCACTGCCCCAGTCGCTGCAGCCTGATCGGCCGCAAGTTTAGGTGAACAAACATACGACGTCTGGGAAGAAGATATCAGGTGAAGTGCGTGTTGCAGTGCTGAATTTGATTTGCCCGTTACCAATAGAAGGATCAGTTGTGTGGCTAATCGTTCGAGAGTAAAATCTGGTGATTGATCAGATGCACGTTGATCTGTTTGACGAGATTGGCCGTAGTTAGCAACTGTTTCGTCCTCAGTCAGGGACAAATCGTCAGCGCGCAGGTAAGTGGGTATGTTCTTCGTTAAAATATCTTCATACGCGCTTCGAGAGTATACATCCACATGCATGAATAAAGTCAAACCACAAATTCCCTTCATTCTAATTGGATGGAACTTGTACAAACGGATGGAACTGGTATCNACATCTACACCTCAATCGGGCGCTCTGGATAGAAAACGGGAGCACAAACACCGCTGACATCGATGAGCCACCATTTCTTATAACTTTTTCAATCAAGTGAACTGTGGAGCACTGAAGCATCAGTGTCACCGCTGATGCCGCCGTCCCTGGCGATGATGCTTACACCTCCAAGCGCTGAGTCAGAAACTCTGGAGAGATCCAGAAGTCAAGAACATAACTTGCATTGATAAGCCGTCACTTTGCGCTTTTGATTTACCAACATCTGGGACTTTGCTGTCATTCCTAACGGAAATTTGACACCTGTAGGACTTTGGTGGCCCATGCTAGTAGCAAGTGTTTGAACCACTCATAAACATCGATCTCAGTCTGTCTGACCATTCGAGACTCTCCTCATCTTGTGTCCCCACTGCTTCCACTTTTTTTCTATTCCAGTGCATGGGCTGGTCCTGGTATCTGTCCAACGATTTTCAATTCTCCGTAGTTCTCGCTCCCATATTTATCTCCCTAACTAGCTGGTAAGTTGGCCCATGAAGTACTTTTTCTGTTGTCCTGCACCTCCTTTCCGAGTTTCGACCGCTTTCACTCAACTCTCTTGACGTTTCACAATCACGGGTTTTCAGTACATGGAATACTTATGAAGCATGGGGAATGTGATGGTATGTGAGCGTTTCGTGTTTTCTGGTCGGTGGCGGGTCCAATAAGCGGAAAGCGGGCGTTATACGCGCTTCTGAGACAAAGTTCACCACCCGCTTGCAGACCAATTTGGTCAGCTGACCAGTGAAAATATGACCTATTGCCTGATTAAGCCTGAGGAAGTGGAAAACGCGGCGTAGTGGAATAAGACATCGTAATTCGATATTTCGGTTGATGTTGGCTACATTTTTCAATGATTTTCATATCACATTGTGTTCATCCTGTTTAACAAGATCCGAACCGAGATTTGCATGGGACTCCCAAGGCCAAGGAAGCTTAAGGACCACATGAATTTGCTTCTGAATACGTGGTGAGGGTTTCTGGTGTCTTTTGAGACTCGCACTCATTTTGGCTCAGAGTTAGCATAACTAAGCTTTTGGGGTAGTGAAATACACTCATTTGCAAACAAGTTCGGTTTTGCGAGCCTGGAGCCCAGCTGAATCTCTCGTTTATGATGTTTTTCTAAGCAACTGAATGTGTTGCACCAGGCCACATCATGTTTCAGTTGGTGCGATATTCGAGGTATAGCTATACATAAATAGACGTATTACACTAATCATAAGGCATTCTAGACAGATTACCATCCGACGAGTTGGAAAATCAAAGCTGATTATAGGCAGGATATGTTGCACTCCTAATCAAATCTTATTAGTGTGAAGCAATAGTCCACTATCTTACGGTTCTAAAGAGGCCGAACCAGAGCGACTGCGCCTACTGACATATTAAGGTGAGCCTCAAAAGCAGTCATTGGTCTTCGTCAGTGGAGCATATGCGATTGAGCAGACGCGTTCTCAAACGACCATTTTGGGGTCTCCATGAATCGACTAATTCGTGGAAAACGCTAATTCAGGCATCACTCTGAAGAACCTCCTTCTACCATGTACAACGAATCTATCACCATATCCTCTGGCTCTCTCATTCTTTCGGGAATGTCGCGGCTGGGATGACGTTTGCTGCTGGACTCGTGATATCGTCCATTCTGGATACTTTTGGAATCGCCTACAGGAAAGTTTTTCTTCTCGGGACAATATCTTGGTCCGTCACACTCACTGCCTACTCTCCCTATCTGGCTGAACAGCTCTCCTTCTTGAGGATATATGATATATATATATATATATATATATATATATATATGTACGATTATTGTCGCAACCTCTCCGCGGTAGCAGGCAACAGCACAACCGCGCAAGTGTTTCTGAGTAGGAACCAATCCTCGGATCATCAAGCGCAATTTGTATGTTCCTTGGTAATCTCATCGTTGTTGGTACACTTGGAATATTTTGTACCTGCATAAGGATTCTGGATCGAACGAGGTGAATAATCACAGTTCCTTTTTGTCTAGTTAATATTGAATTTTTCCGCGCCAGTCAACCATGACTGGTCGCGGGCTTTAGAGGACATTTCGATTACGGATTCCATCCGTTTTGAACATATCGACACCGGGGGAAGATGTTTTAACGAAGAATTTTTGTTGTCCAATTCGTTGTTGGCATCGGGATCCACAACCTAAGTTCTTGTCTCAAAGGCCACCCACAAGGTATCGTTGTTTCAGTGGCTAGCTCGTTACACGCTATAACCCCATCATGGGCGACGGAAAGATTGGATCGATCCGAATGACTGATCAAACTGACTTG